AGGTAGTAAATTAATTAATTATATTTTAAATTTTCTTTTCATTTATTTTTTATTATTTGTTTTAGATTCAAGAATATAAATTTGAGGATTACGATATGGAACCAAAAAAAAAAGTAAGTTTCTCATTTAACAAGAGATTCGAAGTGACGCTGCCACTAAAAAAATTAGATATATTCTAAATATATGATAATTATATTGAGGATATGTCTGAATTCTTGAAAGATACTTTATATCCTTAACGGGTGGTGCCGAGTTGGTTTTGATCAACAGTGATATGATAAATTTGTGGTGAATAAGAATCCATGTTAATATTTTTTCAGTCTAATCATCTTATAGGCCATGAATTTGAAAACAAATTGGTGAAATTATTAAATGAGAATGGATTAATTGCCAATATAATCTCCTGCAAACAAGGAGATTTTGGTGTTGATATTATTGCAACATTTAATCAACAAGACATCATAATTCAGGTTAAAAATATTGAGAAAGCTATTGGTTCCCCTGAATTACAAAAAATTCAATCATCTTTTAAACATTTTGGTGAAGAAATTTTAGGAATTATTGTTTATAACAGTGAAAAATTATCGAATCCTTTAACAAAATCTGCTAAAATTTGGTTTGATGGTTGTTGTAAAATTATGAATGAGAAAGAGATTTTAAATTTTTTTAAAGATAATAAAAAAAGAAATAAATAAAGAATAATGATGGAATATACTAATCCACAGGCTGATGAATTTGTAATTGGGATTAGTAAATTGAAGGGATTCAAAGCAGAAAAATGTGTAGTTTATTCACTCTATTAGTTTTTTCTTTATTTTTTTTTATTATCTAACAAGTACTAATTGGTACCTGTTAAATATTTATTTACGTAATTTTATTTATTAAAATTTAAAAATGAATAAGTGAATCAACAAACATTTATTAAATCTTGAGATTGATTTAAGAAAACTATTATTGATGAAAATTTAAAGAAAAAAAATTTAGCTGATTTAAAAAAACTTATTAATAGTATTGTTAATGGAGAAGAAACTTATAAGGAATCTTCTAAAACAATTTTAAAGCGTGAATTAACAAATCTTTTTAATAATAAAGTAGAAACTTCTTCTAATCCAAAAAAGCATAAAAATTTAGAAGAGTTTTCAGAAGAGATCAAAATTCAAAAAAAAACAAAAAAAACAACCAAAAATTTTTATCTTTACTGGTGCGATGGGTATTGGAAAAACTACAATGGCAAATATTTTATCTGATCAATTAAAATAACAAAATTTTTTGGTTAAGAAATTTGAGGAGGCATCACTTTATCTTTTACCAGAACTTAAAATTTTTTATAGGGATGTCAAGAATCGTGCATTATTTTTCCAGAGCAAGATTCTTGATTTTTATAAAAAGCAAGTAAAAGAATTGAAAGAATTAATAGAATATGATTATATAATTCTTGATAGAACATATTTGGATACAGAAGTTTTCACTGAAGCAAATATTAAAGATGTAAAAATTTTGAAATATTTTGAGGAAGAAAGGGCAAAAATTGAACCAATTAATAATATCTTCATGGTTTTTTACATTAAACCACCTAAAGAAGTGATGTTAAAACGACAAAACAGACGTCGATTAGAAAAACGAGATTATGAAATAGTTGATGAAGAATATCTTTGTAAAGTTTACGATTTATATGAGAACAAGATTGACAAAATGTACCCCAACAAGATTGCAATTTCATCTGATTGTAGCATTGATGAATATAAAAATATTCTAAATTTTATTTTTGATAATAATAATTAATTTATATTTTTTATTTTTTTTAATTTTTTCTTCTTTTTATTTTTTCTATTCTATTTTTCTAATCAGTTTAATAACTGATTAGAATTTTCTTTATTTAATAGATTTTTTCTATTATAAACAAGAAGATAAGATTGTGATCAATTTTTTTTTTGAAACTTTCGATAATTTTCATTTTATGCTATCATTTCCTGAGAGAGGTGCAAAAAATTCAATACGAATTGATTCATTCACATATAAAATTTCTTTAAATGGAAAAAAGAAAGCAACTATCTATCTTTGTACATCTAAACAATTTTTTGATAGATATGAAATATGTAAATTTGACAGAATAACTGGGGTTTCTTATTTTAATAGAAATCTAGTTGTTAATTTAACAAAAGCAATTAATTTTATT